CCTCGAAAACACAAGCTGTGTCATCGGCAAAAGAAATAATTATGTCATTTTCCAGTTTAATATTACATAGGTCGTTTATGAATACTAAAATTGCGTTGGACCCAGTACACTACCCTGAGGAACTCTTTTTTTCTTGGAAGGAAAGCTTCTTTTTTTGACCTAAGAATGTAATAAACAAGACAAGACTCCATTCTAATTGGAATAGTGTGACAAAGTAGCATTCCATGAGTAGCCAACAAGTTGAGATATTCATGAGAAGAGACATCAGAATTATTAGCTTAGTGTCAAAATTAATATCGCCAGCAATTAGAACATTTTGGTAATCCTTTAGAAACAATAAGGATTGTGTTGAGAGATTTAATAAAGAGATCACTATTTCTTTTATAACAATAAGGCCGATATATTGCTAAGATAGCGGTATGTTTTGAAATTTTTATTATAAGACAGTTTGTTTCAGGAAAAATAGGTTCTTCGACAGAATATGATATTGACTTTTTATCGTATACTATAACGCCGTCGTTTTGGTTGTTATTATCCGTAGTGCATTAATATTGATATTCATTCAGTTTTGGAGGACTACTATTGGAGGATAGCCAACATTCCATGAGGATAATGAAATCTAATTTAATATTTAACGAGTGGTTAATATTATAAGGTTATCAAAATTTTGCCTAACACTACGAATATTTAGACGGAGGATTTTTGTTTTAGTGTGAGGCCAATAAATCTGGGCTAGTACTTCTTCATTAAGATGGGTTCAGATGTTTAGACGTCTAAGCGTAACTTACCTTAACTTATCGATACTCTTAATACGATTCTAGAATCTAGCAAAGTATAGATACTAGAACCATACGATGATCAAATTTGAACTATATAGAGTTTGCCAAAGCATATGCAGTGATATTTACCAACTATATTAAATAATCATATCAAATATCGCATTTTATAATCTACAATAAATATCGATTATCAGTATATCGAAAATTAACAATATCGCCGAAATAAATATGGATGTTTCTTAAATCGATTATTTTTTCCCAAGCCTACTCCGCAGGGTCATGAATTTTCCGAATCGCGGACACATCAGTGCACAAGCGTCAACACTTTTTTCATTACCGCCATCTCAGACCGGAAACTATCGGCCCGAAATAGAGAAAAGTAAAATTACATGACATATCGGACCGAAAAAAATAGGACTACTGGACCTGAAAATTCAGTGTAATGCACAAACGCCTTTACATTAGAATAAAGATAAAACGTATCTTACTTGAGTTCATGTTACATGGCCTGGGCCCCAATTAATTTTAATAATCGCATCTCAATGGAGTACCTATCAATTGTTTACATTTTGCCATTGTACAATCAACGGCACATCAGGTTATACAAATCTGCCAAATTTTAAGAGTTTTGAAGCACTTTTTGAAAATTATTATAAATTTGAAATGGTGTGTGGGTTTCATTAATAAACATTATTTAATATTCGTTTAGTTAAATTTTATATCATAAGTTTTAATAATATTTTTTAATATTAAATTACATTAATCTATCTATAAAACGTCAGTTAACAATTAATGCCCTGTTAAAGAAATGGCCGAAAATCTATGTAATAACATGAAGGCGACCAAGAAAGCAGTTAGAGTATCTCTTGGTCGCTTTCGTGGGCAATGGAGTTAATATATGATAACAATAATGCCAAAGTCCTCATTGGGCAGCATGTATGGGTAAACATCTTGTAATAACAAAATAATAATAACAAAATTAGACCCAATATAGCAACGCAAGAAAAAAAATTAACATATGTTTATAATATACCAACCGTAGATTAAGAACGATAGAAAGATAGAACTATAACTGTTAATATCATTGTACTGCTTAAGATTAGTAGAGTAACGCCGAGTTCTCTTTACAGTGTATTTATTAAATATCGTATATCAAAACAACAAAATTAAACAATGTAAAAAAGTGCAGACCAGGAGTCTCCAGACCTAATTTTCTATTGTACTTTATTTACGATACTTTCTTTGGGACAAGGAAGCATTTAAAAAAAGCATAAAGTTGACTCTTCCACCTAACCAAACTAAAACTGGAAAACTTAACTATGTATACATATGAGTACGAGCATGTGTGTGTGTGGATAAGTGTATACGTGAAAGTATGAGCATAATATCAATATATGAATGAAAGTATGTATCTACGAGGGTGAATTGAAAGTTCGCGGCCTAACACATAAATACTTAAACTATTTTAATGTAACTGACCTCATTCGATTAGTTACTTTCTGGTTGTTAAATTGTAAAATTCTATCGCAATAGCATTAACTGTATTTAAGGATCGTTGGAGTATCATCGCCATCTTTCATTCATTTCATTTTCAATTTACATGTAAAAATTAATTAATTTACTTTACCTTGGCAGAATTGTGCGAAATGCGCAGATAAGCCATTAATTAAAAAAAGAAGAAGAAGAAGAAGAACTGTATTTAAATTAGACTAAATTTTGTGAGCTTTTGTGCAGCATTTTAAGGAATGGAGAAAACGTGCCGTCATCAAATACCTGTTTAAAAACTAACTCCAAAAGAGATTCACGAAGATACGTCAACAATATTGGGGGAAATTGCTCCGTCGTATACGACTGTGATAAAATGGGTTGCTGAATTTAAATGCGGACGAGAGAGTATTGAAGATGACCCTCGCTATGGCCGGCCTATGACGTCTACGACTGAAAAAAACATCGACAAACTGATATTGACAGATCGGAGATTTACCATCAGGGAGATTGCAGACACTATTGGCATCTTGTATGAACAAACACAAAACATCATAGTCAATGAACTTGGATTTTCTAAGGTTTCTGCGCGGTGGGTACCCAGATTGCTTTCAGTCGAACAAAAAACGAATACGCCTCACGATTTCTCGCGACTGTTTGGAAATGTATGAGGCTGACCCACAAGTTTTTTTATCCAGATATGTAACAATGGATGAAACTTGGGTACACCACTACACCCCAGAGTCAAAACAGCAATCCAAGCAGTGGAAAAAACTTGATGAACCGACTCCAAAAAAAGCCAAAACAATTTTGCAGCTGGCAAGGTGATGGCGTCAGTTTTTTGAGATGCTAAGGGTGTCATCATGGTGGACTACCTTGCAAAAGGTGAAACTATAAACTCGGCTTATTACTGCACCCTCTTACGTCACTTGTATAAAACAATCAAAGAGAAAAAGCCAGGATTACTCAGCAAGAAAGTGTTGTTCCATTAGTGTATTCGTGATTGTGGCTTTGAATTACTATACATTTTATTATCATATTGTTAGAATGACCTTGAACCCAACTTCCTTAGGTTTGATTTGCCCCAGGATCTGCCAAACAGGAAATGAGAAATAAAGCAGGAAAAACGGGAGACCGATTTCGACTTGAATCGCACTAGAGAGTATTTTTAGTAGTAATGGGACAGAGAAAAATGAGGGGATATCGAAAATAAAACAGAATTATCGTAAAACAACTGAAAAATGTTTTTATTTACTTATGCTTGTCTTGGAAACATGTTACGCAAAGGTTTTGGTTGCATTTCCTGCAATATTTCTTTATTTTCATAACATTTTTTTTGCTTGGGTACTATTAAAGGTTTTCTGCAGTCTGTCGCCGCACCCTACACAATTTCTTCGTTTAGCGCTCATCTCTAGGACATAGTTATTGTCCTTAGGTTTTACTCGATTTTCTGAAATTATTTTTTTTTTCTTAATTCCGTGTGATTGATTAACCATTTATGAGTTTTACCACAGAACTCGCGAAACTAAACAACTTTCCCCAGAGAACATAGGTCAAAATATGAAAAAATAGTTAGCCCTCCCTTACAAAACTGACAACCAGCTGATTAATTTAATATAGCTATGGGAGGTTCAACATTTTTTTTATACTTCAACCTATGTTCTTTGTTGTTTAGTTTCATGAGCACATTCACCTCCTTCGGGGTTAATACCCCCTTTCCATTACACGCTGTATAAGGTCATTTTAAAGTAAGTTAAAATATTTTAAGGGTTGTAATCATTAAACTGAACAACTTTCCCCAATAAACATGGGTCGAAATATGAAACAATATTTTTATCTACTAAATCAGTCAACTGGTCGGCAATTTTGTAAGGGAGGCCCAAGTTTTTTTTCATATTTGACCCATGTTCCTTGGGGAAAGCTGTTCAATTTCATGTGTACAGCACACCCTTAAAATATTTGCACTTAATTTAAAATGACCTTATGCAACGTGTAATTACAAATGCGCAAAACCTCTCGCAAAACAGATGGGCCCGATAATTTCTCATTTTGTATGAAAAACCAATTTTTTTGATGAATTACAAAAGTCGTACAACAAAAATTGTTCAGTAACATGGGATGAGTTACCCCACGAGAGGTTTTGCGCATTTGAAATCAGATGTTCTATAGGTGTTAGGGTATTTACCATCGTTGATTATATCGAACGCTACGTCAGATCAGTTAGATAGCACAACACTAACTAGCGGGCGCGCGCTCTGTGCGATGTCGGGTCACCAGCTGCCTGTTGGGAGGGCGGGCCGATATAGGCCCACTGCCGCACTCAGCGGATGTTTATGGACGTGGTAGGTCGATAAAAGCCTGTCGTTATGTTTTGATGGTGAACACCTACAATTACGACCGCAAGATGAAATATATATTTGTCTCTGTCGAATTTATACAAACACCTAAAATAATCGTTTCGCACATGCGAGCAGAACATAAGTAGTTTTTTTCGTCCGCACCTTAAAAATAAAATTACCGGATTATCCGCGGGGGCGTCGTAGTGAGGAAAATAAATGTTTTATTATTTTTTGTTATTTCAGTTCTAGTAACCGCATAACAATTTTCAACTAACATTACAATCGCATTCTATAATACACATAAAAACAGCTTCATAAATCAGTGTCAGACAGAATCTTATTTGAGAAAGCTTCACTTGTAGTCACTAGATAAGATAATGGAGAGACAACTGAATACATTGCGTATTCAGTCCCATTTTAGTAATGGATAACTTCGGTTACCGCGAAATGGGTTGGCCGACGCCTTTGCAAACTCCCACGTCTCCGACTAGACCGCGACCAACGAGAAGCTTTAGCACCAGGAATAGAGAACCAGAAGAGTTTCCACTAAATTCAACATACAGACATGTACGCAGCATCGACTTACTGGAAAGTGCTCGAGAGCCCGGTAAAGCCAAGGAGTATATATTCGTGGGTCCATCCCCACCAGCAGAAGATACTACAAACTTATATCATAGCTACGACGTCTTAGCACCAGACCCTGAAGCAAGATTGTCGGATGAATCGCTGAGAAAATGTTTATGTGAACGCGCTGTTACATTAGGTGCTGGGAGATTTTTCGATGACGTGGAATGCGGATTAATAACCGCAGAAAATATTGTAGAACATATATCTTCAGCTCCAGAAGTGGTGGTGAATTTGACCTTATTGTGGGCTGCATTTTTGGGCCGCGATGAATTACTTCCATACATTTTGGAGGCTGGCGCTGACATACATAATTCGGAACCTGCAGGATTGACGGCATTACATTTAGCTGCTTTCAGTGGGGCTGGTAGAGTAGCTGCTTTTCTGATATCCCGTGGAGCAGATGTGGATTATGCACCAAAATATTTCACTCCTCTTCATTGTACTGCATTTGGAAATTCTTTAGAAGTTGCAGAACTACTGATAGCAAATAATGCGTCATTACATACTGTAGTTCAAAGAGCAGGATGTGAAGATAATCTTGTTCACTGCGCTGTAAGAAGCGATGCTGTAGAATGCATGGAATTATTTATAGAAAGAGGTGTGGATCCCGGATATGTGACATCAGGCGGTTTGAATGCTTTACATCTAGCTGCAGAATTAGGAGCTCAACGTTGTTTGCATTATTTGTTAAAAGAAACAAAAATAAGTGTAAACGGTACTACAAAGCAAAGAGATAAAGAAAGTACGGCCTTACATTTAGCAGCTGCAAGAGGGTACGCAGAATGTGTTGAACTATTAATAGCTCAAGGAGCAAAAACAAATACGAAGAACTATAGAGGATTTACTCCTCTTCATCTTGCAGCCAGATGTTCGAGTGTAGAATGTGTGGAAATTCTTTTAAGAGACGGTAATGCAGACGCAAATATTGAAGATTTAGATAAAAGAACTCCATTACATGCGGCTGTTAATCGATCAGAACGCGCTTGTGACATAATTGACATGCTGGTTAGTTGGGGAGCTCAAGTAAACAAAAAAGATGCTTATGGGTATTCACCCTTACACATCGCGGCGATGGATGGTTTGACTCAGTGTGTCGAAACGCTTATTTATCTAGGCGCCGATGTAACGTCAAAATCAAAGAAAGGTCATACAGCTTTAAGCGTAATAACTAGGAAAACTCCCAAATCGTTAGCTATTTTACGTCATAATCTTGATAGTGGTATTTCTCTAAGTCGTTCTACAGAAGGAAATGAAGAAGTTCAAATTGAATTTGACTTTGGAAAGCTACTAAAATTTTCTTATCCACGCGAAATAACTTATCTGAACAGTTTAATTGATGAAGGTCAGAAGGATATTTTGTTGCACCCTTTATGTTCTGCGTTTTTGTTTATGAAGTGGCGTAAGATAAGAAAATTTTATTTGGCAAGATTGGTGTTTTGTTTTTTGTTTGTAACTTTTTTGTCCATTTATGTACTAACTGCTGTAGTGAAAACTTGTACTGGAAAATATTCTAAGAAATATGGCGTCCCTAATGAACTCTGCCAAAAACAATCACTACTAGGTGTGATGTTGAAGAACAATCCGATAGAATTTGAAAGGTGGGTGTTAATTGGAATAACCGCCTTTGAAATTGTACGAAAACTTACTGGTATTACTGGTTATTCGAGTATATATCAATATTTTACTACTTTTGAAAATTTGATGGAATGGTTTGTGCTTCTGTCTGTATTTTCGCTATACAATATTGAAAAAGATTATAGTTGGCAGAATCATATCGGAGGCTATGCTGTTTTAGGCGCGTGGACTAACTTGATGCTCATGATGGGCCAACTACCAATGTTTGGAGATTATGTTGCAATGTACCAAAAAGTTTTAACTGAATTCTTAAAACTTCTTTTGGCTTATATTTGTCTCTTATTGGGTTTCGCTATTTGCTTTTGCGTTGTTTTCCCAAACGAAGAAATGTTTTCGAACCCTCTTATGGGTTTCATCAGTACATTGTCAATGATGGTGGGAGAACTTAACCTAAATATCCTCATCAATGATCCCTTGCTCGATGAAGATCCACCATTAGTGTTTGAGTTGTCATCACAAATAATATTCATCTTGTTTCTTATGTTTGTGACAATAATTCTGATGAATTTACTTGTCGGTATTGCTGTTCATGATATCCAAGGTTTACGTAAAACTGCTGGATTATCTAAGTTAGTAAGACAAACCAAGCTTATTCTGTTTGTTGAAATGGGGATGTTTAGTGCTTGGTTACCTAAATGCTTACACAAGTATGTTTATAGAACGGCTTTGGTATCTCCAGAGGCCGGTAAAGTAATATTAAGTGTAAAACCATTAAATCCGAGAGAAAAACGATTACCTACTGATATAATGATGGCAGCTTATGAACTGGCACAGTTGAATAAAGTAAAATATGGAAAATCAGTAAAAGAGATGCTATACAAAAATAAGTATTCGTCAAAACTGAATGAATCTCAGCCGAGCGATAATAACTTTAACATTGAAATAAGAGGTATGCAAGAGAAAATCGATCAAACTACTTTTAATTTGAAGAAAATAGATCAAGAGTTGAGACATCTAAATACAATGTTAAACGAACAACATATTATGCTGCAGAATTTCATTAAGTGTACTGATTTGGTGCCTTATAGGGGACAAATTGTTACATCTCCATCTTACAGTGAAACTTCTCCATTCGTCTTCTATCCAAATAATGGTGATATAAAATAGACCTCTATTTCAAATTATGAATCATGGTGTATTATACAAATGAAAACCTCGTAGAAAATTTTTGTTATTTTTTAATGGGGTCAGTGATAAAAAGTTAAAGTAAGAAGGAATACGCAGAACATTGTATGATAATTTTTCTATTAACTATTAAATTTTTTTTTGTACTCAACAGTCTTTCAAAATTTGAATGTTTACAGTTCAAAATGGAGGATTTTACTATAAAAATGAAATGTTATCTTGATTACTTCATTAATTTTAATTCACATAATTATGAACGTTCAAATCTCTTAAGGTATTTACTTTGCTTTAATAAACAATTCTGAACAAACAGTTTCTGATAATAAGGCTTATTATCTTTAAAAGATAACATAAAAACGTGATTAGATGATTGAGAAACGTGTGGTTCACGATCAAGGAGGATGATTTTGAAGGCGATGATACATATATAAAAGGTCATCTACCTGGTTTACTGACTGACAGACAACGCACAGTCTAAACCGCTGGTCATAGAGACTTGAAATTTAGAAGAGGAAAATGTGAATTCCACTCTATAGAGGATCAAAGAGGGTGAAAACGTTTGTATGAAATTTCTTTGTTTTTGGACCTATATCGATAAAAATTGATATTTTGGGAGTTTAAGACGTTATGAAGGTCATATTTTATCCCAAAAACTGGCATTTAAAGGGATGAAAATGGGAGTGAATTACAATTTGAATTATTGTTGTAAGTAATTTATATAATATTATTTATAAAGATTTCCTAATATAGTGATATAAATTGATAATTGAATACATAATTGATAACAAAAATAACATTTTAAATAAATATTTTTGAAAATATTAAAGTACAAATCATTTTTATACGAAAGAAAACACAAACTATAAATTTTGCGCTATACTAGATGGCCTTAAGTATACTTCTACATTGCACTGTTTTGGTCAAGGTAGACATTTCAAATAAAATTTAGTAAGAATTTTAAGCTGTATTATACTGATGAGTAGCTCGGTAGCGTAGTGGCTAAGTGTCACGGCTCGCGATCGTTGTTGTTAAGCAACTTTCAGAAGTGTTGAACACGGAACGGGTGACCAATAAAAATGTACTCAAGCTACTCCATGATTTGGAAGGCACGTTATGCCGTTGGTACCGGCTCCATTTGCAGCCGTTATTGAACCAGCGTGGAGGGTTTTGGTCTATTTAACCAATTCTTATGGAAGGCCTAAGCCCTTGCAGTGGGGACGTAAAGGGACTGATGATGGTGATATAAGATGGCGTTTCTTCTTAACTAAACTGCGTAATCGTTTTGTTTAAAAACTGTTGCGTAAATTTAAAATTGAATTAATTTTTGTGTGTACATTAGATTTGTGTTTTTTTTCCATCTGTATTTCAAATCTGAGAAATAGCTTTAAAGTTTTCAGAGATAAAGTACTGTAACATATTGAACTTTATTCGGTTAATTACATGTATAACTGACGCTATACATTAAATAAATAAATACATAAAGCATTTTGTTGTAGTGTCTCGGAAGTTGAACATCAAAGTAATTTTATTCGAATATCGCGGATTGCTATTAATAAAATTAATAATTGTATTTAGTATAGTGATCTTTGACAGTTAACCAATTCCCTGGGCTTTGTACAGCCGCACAGTAGAAGGACGTTTAGCTTTACAAATGAATGGCGTCATTCTATTATTTGGCTAGCTGCCTAATCGGACGAATCTTATACCCAGTTGGCTACGACATATCCATTATATATTAATAGCTTTAACTTTAACTTCCAATTTTAACAGCTGTGAGTTTAAAAATCGAACAACCAAATCGTGATTTATATTGTTCTTAGTTCTCTAGGTAATATAATATACGATGTAGGTTTATGTATATGTCAGTTACGTTCTAACGCCTAACCCACTAAACAGAGTTGACTTGAGATCGGACATAAGTTGCTATTATTGTGATAAATAGATGGTACAGAAGTTCGTCATTGTCAAAGATAAAATCATAAAACTTTATTTCGGATATTTTACATGATATAATGAATAAATATTCGTTTTAGAAATGCTGCTCAAAGTAACTATACCAGGCGGACAAAGTAGCGGGCAAAAGTTAGTTTTAGAAATTTTATGCACACATTTCTATGTATGTTTCTTATCTTACACGTCATTTTTGTAGTACATTTATTATACATGTATGTGTGTATGTTCTCAATAAATTACGCTAAAAAATTCATTCAGGTTTAGACAATCAATAATCAGATAAATCACATAATTTTGAATGTAATATAAAAGAAAGCTTGTCAAGTTTTTTACGAATAATACAAAAAAAATATTTTCCTGAAGGTGCTTTATCATCATTAAACTTATCTCCAAATTTTTGTTTGAAACAGCTGATTGAAGTCGTTGTTTAGTAGGTATACTTAACTTATCCACTCCATATAGTCCTGGCATATAATAATATTACACCTTATAAACTACGGTCATAATAGTAAGCTAAAAATGCTAAAAATTATCTTCATCTAATAATAAAATTTTATCTTGCCAACTTCATGATACCTATTACATTGATCACATTTTCTGTAGCACTTTTGGCATCGACAGTGATTTGTTTGTAGCTAGAATAAAAGTTTGAACGCTTTATATGTCTAAAATTGTTTTAAAAGCACTTTTTGCATATTTTTAACACGGCTGACTTGGTGTTTTTTGTGATTTTAAATAATACAATTTGTTATTTGTGATTTTTACTTTGTCATATAATTTTATATAACTTTAATTTAAAAGAGATCAAAAGTACCTACTTCAAGGCTTTGCTTTTCCATAAGAAAAAAAACACCTGTAACTCGACCTCTAGCACAGCTCTATCATACTTCACAGCTCCAATCAAATAAAACCTTTACCACTTTTAAATAAAAGTTATATATAAATATATGACAAAGCTTTTATCTGAGGATTATGTCATAAGACAGTGCTCAAACTCAAAGGGAAAAAAACATTACCAAAAACAAAAACATCAAACACTAAAAACAGACTAAAATAAATATTTTTATAACAGAATAGCACTGAAGTAAATGAATGACTGACCATTTAGCTGTGGTAATACATTCATGTTCGGAAGGACACACTCATCGAAGGGAAATGTACTACTGCATACCTCGCTTCCATAGCGTAGGTTAGCGTGGTTATGTAAGGCTCTTCTCTACAGACCCAACCCTGTGAGTAGGGCTTGTCATAACGAAGGGGCATACACATTAAAGCCTCCCGTGTCTCTCTCTATGATAGGCAATGCATTGCAACAGCCTACAAGGATCAGACCACAATAAAGGTTGTGTGGTCATACAAAATAGGCCAAGTACTTGGAATATGAACTCCTACTCAAAATAGTTCATTCCTACAGAGGAGATGTTTGCCAAAATCAACCACAGACCATGAAATGTTACTTCGCTAACTCTGGTTACGATTGTGGGCATGCCCACAATTTCGTGTACTGTTTTAATTTTTTCCAAGTAGATAATTATAAACACAGCATAAGCATTCCAACAGTGGCGCCTATTCTACTGCCGCGAATCAAAATAAACTGATTTGCTCCTTGACGTGCCGTGCGACGATCGCTGGCGCCGTGACAGGGTTGTCTCTAATCCTCTAATAAATAAAATATATAATATTAAGATACATAAATACAATAAATTTAATTAATATGTTACCAATATAATACAATTATGTAGTTCCTCCAATTTATTATATTGAATAGCGTCATCAAATTCTGACATTTGTAGTTGGGTATGGATTGATGTATGGGTACATTTGTGATTTAAAAGAGCTTTTGACTGTTATCATAATTAAATTGCATGGCTAAACTGCTTGTCTTTCAATGAACGTTGACGTAATAGAATTAAGTTTGAATATCACTTACACAACATGAATGTGTAATTCCAAATTAATTAACAGTAATCTTTGCCAAAATTTTCTACAATTCGGGCACCTGATTCAACTACCAAACTGTTTATATGATTACTGATTAATTTAATAAAATTATGTGTTTCAATAATTGTCTTTGTGGCAGCCCTTGCGCATACCACACTCTTGTTTATTTATATACTGGCTAATAAGCCAGGTGACTGCAAATATCTGATCATTGCGATGTAGCGAACAGGTATGTTTTTGATGCAAACATCCCAATAAATCATAATTCCACACTGACGTTGCTAATTATAACACGTTCGCATACCAGACCGTAGTTTATTATCTGACCTGGTTTATAACTATATAATTACGATTATTGTAAGTCTCTGAAACGAAATTAAGCGTTTTTCTCGGAAACATACAAAAAGGTAAGGGGCCGTCCATTAATCACGTGAGGCTCGAAAGGGGGTTCGTCAAAAATCACGAAATATCACAAGGAGGAAGGGGTGGTCTACATGATATACATGTGTATATATTGTATATACACATGTATATCATGTAGACCACCCCTTCTACATGTGTATGTGTATATATTTTTCAATAAACGTGTGATTACTCAACCAAAGTGGCTCAAAAATTAAGATTTTTTGTAGGTACTGTTAGACTACGATACTCTTTATCGAATACTAAGGACATCAATCTTTATCGATTGTATTAGTGGAAGCACTATCTGTCAGTGGTTTGTCACTGTCACCTTTGAAGTTGACATTGACGAATGATGAGATAATTTTGGGCGGGAATACTAAGGTTGTTGTGAAAAAGTTTATGTAAAAGGAAACAGTTTTATAAAATATATGATAAATCAGTCAAAGTTGTGTTTTAATAGTACTTAAAAATATACGTGTAATTTAAGGTCTTAAATTTCACTATGTATCACCAAGGGGGAGAGGGGTTAAAAATGTTGAAAAAATGGACGGCCCCTAAGGAACCACGAATGAAAGCCTCTGTAGATTTGTGTTTTTTTTTGTTTCGTAGTGATTATTTATGATGTGTTTCTGTGAATTAATTAAATAAGATGTCCATTTTCGTTATTAAATAATTATGACATAAGTGTGATTATGATTTATAAAGCATTCAACATAAAGGCTGAATGAGAATTATATTGATAATATTGTAAAATTATTGTTATATCTACGATCCTTGCCTTCAGGCCAGCAAACCAATTCTGAGGATGGTTATGTAATAAACGAATCCCACTAGAATCTCAACAACTTACATTATGCCATTGTACTATCTACCTAAAATCCAATATTATCATCTGTCAAATAACATCTGTAATTTTTCATGTGCAGGGAAGATATTGCACTAAAATATTGGACTTTAGGTAGATATGGTAAAATCCCTAGTAGCATTTTGGGTTGGCCAACCGTGCAATACGATCGGGAACAAGTTGGGAAAACGTTAGTGAGATTTATTATAAAGTTCCAACTATCTGCCAACAGTTTTATTGCAGGAAAAAATACCATACGCACATCCAACTATGGCCCTACTGTCATTTATTTTTTTTTTTCTCACAAATATTTCTCACGTTAACCCAACGAAGGA